TAATGCTAACCACTCAGCGCTCAGTAGCAGTAATGCTAACCACTCAGCGCTCAATAGCAGTAATGCCAACCAGTCAGCACTCAGTAGCAGTAATGCTAACCAGTCAGCGCTCAGTAGCAGTAATGCTAACCAATCAGCACTCAGTAGCAGTAACGCTAACCAATCAGCACTCAGTAACAGTAATGATAACCAATCAGCGCTCGGTAGCAGTAATGCTAACCAATCAGCGCTCGGTAGCAGTAATGCTAACCAATCTGCACTCAGTAGCAGTAATGCTAACCACTCAGCGCTCAGTAGCAGTAATGCTAACCACTCAGCGCTCAGTAGCAGTAATGCTAACCAATCAGCGCTCAGTAGCAGTAATGCTAACCACTCAGCGCTCAGTAGCAGTAATGCTAACCAATCAGCACTCAGTAGCAGTAATGCTAACCAATCAGCGCTCGGTAGCAGTAATGCTAACCAATCAGCGCGCAGTAGCAGTAATGCTATCCAATCAGCACTCAGTAGCAGTAATGCTAACCAATCAGCACTCAGTAGCAGTAATGCTAACCAATCAGCGCTCAGTAGCAGTAATGCTAACCAATCTGCACTCAGTAGCAGTAATGCTAACCAATCAGCACTCAGTAACAGTAATGCTAACCAATCAGCGCGCAGTAGCAGTAATGCTATCCAATCAGCACTCAGTAGCAGTAATGCTAACCAATCAGCGCTCAGTAGCAGTAATGCTAACCAATCAGCGCTCAGTAGCAGTAATGCTAACCAATCAGCACTCAGTAACAGTAATGCTAACCAATCAGCGCTCGGTAGCAGTAATGCTAACCAATCAGCACTCGGTAGCAGTAATGCCAACCAATCAGCACTCAGTAGCAGTAATGCTAACCAATTAGCACTCGGTAGCAGTAAAACCAACCAATCAGCTCTCAGTAGCAGTAATGCTAACCAAACAGCGCTCGGTAGCAGTAATGCTAACCAATCAGCACTCAGTAGCAGTAATGCTAACCAATCAGCACTCAGTAGCAGTAATGCTAACTAATTAGCTAACAGTTTGCTGTAGAAAAAACGAAGTATACAGGTAAGTTCTCTTTTTTCTTTCTACTTTCCAAAAATTAAAGGTTCACCCCATCGATTGAGGACTTGCTCATGGGCGCCCTCTAGTGTTTTAGAGTCATTTACATTCATCCCTATAAAACAACATCAAAATAATCAAATACTATTTTCCTTTTAGGCGATTCTTCCCCTCAAATCTGAACCTCAAACAATCAGATTCCAGCTTCAGTGTTTATCAGCACAAATCTGATCAAATAAAGAGGGAAAGGTAAGAGCTGAGGATTTGGCACAGCTGTCCAAACGAAGCGGCGGAGAGTCGGGGGATTCTGGAGGCAGAGCTGTTAATCTTCCTGCTGTTGTTGGAAACAATCTGACAGCCAGAAAAGTTCATACAAAAACAACAAACTGGAGATCCGACTCGTTTCTGCAGACCCTCGCAGGAACGCTACAACATGGGGCCTGACGATGCCTAAAACAGACGGAATATGAAGGCTTCATCCTCCAGATGCTGTACAGAACTGCTGTCATCTCTAGAGCCGCAGACGAGATACGACTGAGATACGCACAGCCAGAACCCCACACTGTAGTTCGGTTCTGCAGGTGTACAAATACAACCCCATTTCCAAAAAAGTTGGGACGCTGTGCAAAATGTTAATTAAAACAAAATGCAATGATGTGCAAATCATTTAAACCCTATATTTCATTGAAAATAGTACAAAGACAACAAATCAAATGTTGAAACTGAGGAATGTTTTTTGAAAAATATTTGCCCATTTTGAATTTGCTGCCAACAACACATTCCAAAATGGTTGGGACGGGGCAACAAAAGACTGGTAAAGTTGTGTAATGCTAAAAAACACCTGGTGGTTGATTGGCAACAGGTCAGTAACATGATTGGGTCTAAAAGAGCGTCTCAGAGAGGCGGAGTCTTTCAGAAGTAAAGATGAGGAGGGGTTCACCACTCTGTGAAAGACTGCACCATCAAATAGAGCAACAATTCAAGAATAACGTTTCTCAACGTAAAATAGCAAAGAACTTCTGCTTTTCATCATCTACGGTACAGAATATCATTAAAAGATCTGGAGAAAAATCTGGAGAAATCTCTGTATGTAAGGGTCAAGGCCAAAAACCAGTATATGCTGGCCGTGATCTTTGGGCCCTCAGAGCACTGCATTAAAAACAGACATGATTCTGTAATGGAAATCATTGCATGGGCTCAGAAACACTTCTGAAAAAGTTAAGTTAAAACTCTAAAACGTATAAACAGGATCCAGAAACACTGCCACCTTCTCTGGGCCCTACCTTATTTAAAATGGAAAGTGGGGGGAGTGGAGGGGAAGTGGGAAAAGTGTCCCGTGGTCCGACGAATCAACATTTGAAATTCTTTTTGGAAATCATGGACACTGTGGCCTCTGGGCTAAAGACCACTCAGCTTGTTATCAGCGCACAGTTCAAAAGCCAGTATTCATGATGGTATAGGGGGGCATTAGTGCACATGGCACAGGTGACGTGCACATCTGTGAAGGCACCATTAATGCTGAACGATATATACATGTTTTGGCAACATATGCTGCCATCCAGACGACGTCTTTTTCAGGGAAGATCTTGATTATTTTAGCAAGACGATGTCAAACCACATTCTGCATGTATTACAGCAGCATTGCTGTGTATTAAAAGAGTCCGGTGCTAAACTGACCTGCCTGCAGTCCAGACCTGTCACCACTGAAATTAAAAATACGATAAATGAGCCCCTGAACTGTTGAGCAGCTGAAATCCTGTATCAAACAAGAACAGGAAAACATTTCACTTTCAGAACTACAGCAGTGTCTCCTCAGTTCCCAAACACTTACAGAGTGCTGGTAAAAGAAGAGGTGATGAGACACAGTGCTAAACAGGCCCCCGTCCCAACTTTTTTGGAACGTGTTGTTGGCATCAAATTCAAAATGGACAAATATTTTTCAAAAAGCAATCAGATTTCTCAGTTTAAGCATTTGATTTGTTGTCTTTGTACTGTTTTGAATGAAATATAGGGTCTAAATGATTTGCACATCATTGCATTTTGTTTTTATTCAGATTTTGCACAGCAGCCCAACTTTTCTGGAAATGGGGTCGTTTTATTATAGACTAGAAATACCAGTGTTCAGTTTATTACCTCCACCGTTTAATCAGAAACACCTAACACAGTCTTTAAAAAGAAGGTTCTTCAAGGGTTCTTCGGTAAAGGGAATGGTTATATTTAGAACTAATCATTTGCATGCTTAAATGGTTCTTTGCATAGTGTATAGGTTCTTCAGATTGATAGAGAATGTGCTGTATATGGTTCTTAATAGCACAAAGAAAGGTTCTTCTTTTTTTTTTTACCCCGATTTTCTCCCCAATTTAGTCTCTCCAATTCCAGCCGCTAGTTAGTCTCCCCCAATCACACGATGCTACCAGCGCTAGGAGGGTGAAGGCTAACACAGGCTTCCTCCGAGACCTGTGAAGCTCCACCGCTTCTTTTAGAACTGCCGCTCACGCAACGTCACTGGACAGCCGAACGCGCTCGGAGGAAAGCGCCAACCGCCAGATCTGTTACGTCAGCTAACAGACGCCTGCGCTGACTAGCATCGCGCTTAGTGAGTGATGGGGGGAGAAGGGCAGCCATCCCACCCACCCAGAGAGATGCTTAAATGGTTCTTTACATGATGAATAGGTTCTTCAGACTGATGGAGAACGTGCTGTATATGGTTCTATATAGCACCAAGAAAGGTTCTTCTATTGTTACTTAAAAAGATGGTTCGGCAGAGCCCTTTTTGGTGCTATATAGAACCCTTTTCAAATAGTTTTCATACAGAACCATCTACAGCACATTTTCCATGGAACATTAATCACAGTTTAATCACAGTTTAATCACAGCAGATCAATACTGACCCGTTAGATAAACTGAGCTCGTCACTCAGTCTGACAGGGACAGACATCAGCAGCACCGACACACACACACACGCGCACACACACACACACACACAGACACAGACACAATCACACGTCAGTGTCACTGCTGTGCTGAGAGTGGACCACCATCTACACAATATCTGGTAGGGGTGGTCCTGTGGTGGTCTCTCTCTCTCAGTGCTGAAGGGGGGGGCTGATAAACTGTACAGTAACAGGTGAGCTACGACCTTTATACCCCTTTATACGACCTTTAGACCTTTATTAGAAAAAGTTAAAAAACAAGTATTTTTAGGTTACTGAGGTGTCATACACACACACACACACACACACACACACACACAGACACACTCACTCTCACACACACACACACACACTCACTCACACACACTCACACACACACACACACACTCACACACACATACTCACACACACACACACACACACACACATACTCAAGGACACACACACACAAACAGACACATACACACACAAAGACACACAAACACACACACACACACACTCAAACACACACACGCACACAGATACACACACACACACACTCACACACACACACACACAGAGATACACACACACACTCACAGATACACATACACTCACACACACTCACACTCACACTCACAGACATACACACACACACAGATACACACACACTCACTCACAGACTCACACACACACGCACAAATACTCACACTCGCACACATACTCACACTCACAGACACACACACACACACAGACCCATACTCAAGGACAGACACACACACACACACACTCACTCACTCACACACACACACACTCACTCACTCACACACACACACACACACAGACACACACACACACAGATACACACTAATGTGTGTGTGGTTGTGAAAGTGCTGGAAGTTCGGTGAAGCACTGTAATCACGCGCTCCGGTAATCACCGATAAAGCTCGCGGCTGAACTGATCTTGGGTGAGTATTGATCGGTGCTGGTCAGTACTGATCAGTGCGCGCGCTGACCGCTACCTGTTTTGACCGCGCTGTCCGACACACACCGGTCCCACTTCCGCCCGGAGTCCTCCATCTTCACAGCTGCCTGTGGCCACTGCGCAACTATCGCGAGAGTTTGTAAATTTCTCTACGCTCAGGATTCAGTAATATCGCGAGATTTTGGTTATTCCTTTCTTTTCTTTCTTTTTTTGCTCTGTTAACTGTAAGTCTCATATCTGGGACCATTTTTGACATTTTTATTAAAGAACCAAGAAAAAAACAGAAAAACAAAACAACAAAAAAACCAAACAAAAACAATGTAAGTTATAAGCTGCTCAGATGGTTTGAGCTCCTAGATGAAATCTTGCATATTTTTCTTTCTTTTCTTTCTTTTCTCTGCTGGATTCTCTCTTTCTCGTCCTCGTATCGGTCCTTCATGCCTCACTGCAGTAACACATCGACATATAATCTAATCTAATATAATCTAATATAATATAATATAACTTAATATAATATACTATAATATAATATAATTTAATGTAACATTTAATATCTGTACTTATTTAGCTTCTTGCACTAAGCAAGCAAGTTTTAAAATGAGTAGATATTGATTTAAATTTGTCATTATACTTTTAATCATATTCCTATTGTTGAAGAATTGAATTAATTGTAAAAAATTAAAGGACCTGTAAAATGAAAAACATTTCCTTGCTTTTTTTGATGAAGTGTGATGGTGAAGTATTACAGCGTGCCGCTCGCTCCCCGCTCCGTATTAGGCTGTATATGCAAATAAACCTGCTGCAATGGGCCGTTTTGCATTCATTGTTATTGTGATGTCACAAAGAATCAACATATATACTTTTATGAGAGAGTAAGAGAAAACAGCCTGTTTAATCCTGTTAGAACTGTTAAAAATGTTTTTTTAGTACATAAAACAACAAAAATATTAGTGAACCTCAGGAAATAAAACACATGAAAAATGTTTGATATGGATCCTTTAACACACAACAAACGAATACATGTATTTAATTTAATTTTATTTAATTTAATTTAACTAAAAGATTTTCAGAAATCCAGTCCAGATTTGCTACACTTTAAAGCACAATATTTAACACTAACTCATTTTTTGGGGGTTTATTTTACTTTTTTATTAAAAATACTAATACAAATCTAGTAACACTCACAGTTTCTAGTCTAATCCTGAGTTACTGAGGTCAATCTAACCAAGGTAAGTTAATGTGGATCAGTCTTACACAAGAAAAGTCTTTTGCCCAAAAATCTTCCCAGCATTCTTAGCAGTTTTGTTAGTTTCTGTTGAAAAAAAACATTTATTTTTCTAATTTATGAATATAATTATTTTTGCAAAAGGTTATTTTTGTGTCGAAGCGTGCTCTCATGCTAAATATGAAGTTTGTATTTTACATGTTGTTGTTATTCTCACCATGATGGTGTTTGTGCTCAGTTTCATCAGGCCAGCCTGGAGCCTTTAACACAAACAGAACAGCAAACATGCATTAAACTATTAGAGCCTCTGAAACGGCTGATTCCAGTCTGATCTAAGACAATTATTCATTACTGTTCAGCACAGTCCATTTAAAATAATGGAGTTAATTGAGTTAATTTAATTGATGTCAGTATATCATATAAAGAGGAATATTTTCAAGTTAATTCAAGATTAAGCAGACGTAGAGCACCACCAGCTCAATGGACACCATTTATAATGATTGCCCTGCTGAAAAAGGACCATTAGAAAGCATTAGGATTAAAACCTATCTTAAGGTTTCTAATGTAGACCACTAGATTTCTGTTGAACACCTTTCCATCAACCATCAAATGCATTTAGAATCAGCCATTGGTTACCTGGTTATCCTTTACTTTGTGATATCAACCCATTAAACAAGCCAAAACACATTACAAAACCATCAGGAACCAATAGAAACACTAATGGTTTCTATGGGTTTTTTCAGCAAAGTGAGCTGTTTGAGTTAACAGTGCTGCAAAAGCGTTCATCACTAAAAAAATCAGGCATATATAACTCATATATGAGGATATTTAAGCTTGGACCTGTTAACCTTTTCAACTCCTTGAGACCACCAAAATGCACTTCGTCATATTCTTCATAACTTTCATATTTCATAAGCTACATTCAAAAGGTGGGGGTCGTATGAGAGCTGTAACTGTCTTCTTTCCAGTCAAATAGATGGGTGATGTAATTTTAAACCCTTATAATAAAAGAAGCTTTTTTTTTCTACTGAAAGTCGACCCATTTTTCCACAAATCTGGGCTATAAACCATAAACAGATGGCGTCTCTTCAGTGATCTACTCTGTAAACATTATTTTTATAAAACAATACAAAGATTGTATTGTAAGTAAATTGTAAGCATATAGGATGTGTGATCATAAAACACATGTTCTGTTTATTTGAGGGGAGCTTTTAAAAATAAATAAATAAATAAAATAAAAATTTACATTTATTTCATGCAGTTACTGAATAATTTGCCTTACGATTTGGTCACGTGAATTCAGACGGACAAACCAGAATATACTCTGGTCAGTAAGAGGTTAAGTGAGTTTACTTCTTTTTTTCGAGGCAATAATTTTAATAATTATAATCTTTAAAGTAAAACCAACTAATTTAGATCTACAGGCCCCAGAAATGTATTCTCTGCTGTTTGTCTCCCCCTAGCGCTCCGTCCCTGCCACTGCCGAGGCCCCGCCCTCCACCTCCCATATTTGGCCATGCTATACTTAGCGCGCTCTGATTGGCCGGCTGGTAGGGGTCTTGCATGACCCGGATGTGTAACGGGTTTTCTCGGCGTCCCGTTTTTGTCAGCACACACGCCCCCCCCCCTCCTTCGGTAGAGGAAGTGGATTCGCTGACAGGGCTGGGCAGCGGCGACACGGCGACGCGAGAAACGGAGAGAAACACGAAGAAACCGAGCCAACGAGCCTAAACGAGCCACCAGATCCACCTGCTCGCGTTCGTTCCTCCTCCGCAAAACCGACCCTCGGCGCCGCAGACATGGTGAGAGCCGCGGAAAAGCCTCGGCGCCTACGCTAAGCTAAGTTAGCCTCGGCTAAGCTAAGCCGCTTGCCTTTTATAGGAAGTGTCCGGTGCCACCCAAATACAGCCCAGAACTATTTCTGTACACTCCGAAATGAAGATAAAGCTCTTTTTATTTGCACGTTTGCGTTTTCCCGAGGGTGTCAGCGGTGCTAAGCCGCCTGCAGGGGTGTTGTTGCCGGGCCAAAGTTGGCCAGACAGCCGGGGATGTTTTGGATTAACTAATGTTGGAGGTGTTGGTGTGGGTTCCTCCTACCCTCCTAAAAACATGGTTCTTTAGTAAAGGGAGTGGTTCATGACTTCTACTTAGAACCATTCGCATGCATGAACAGTTCTTTGCATGGTGAAGTGGTTCTTTAGATTGCTGGAGAATGTTAAAGAACCTTTCTGAACGCGGTTCTATTTTAGGGCTGGGCAATTTGACGATATGGTATGATTATCGTGATGTGTTGTGTCCCAATAGGCTTTTCTGAGCATATCGTGGAAATCTGAGCCTGTTTATTTGAACTTCGTGCTGTGCAGTTCATAAAATATTGAATAAAAATCACTGGAGGTTGATTAATATCGTTATAGTGTTTTATGTGTGCCGCTACAGGTTCTATCTCGTCTGTTCCGACTTGATAAAAAAACTAAGTAACAGTTATAGTGAAGCATGTCTTGTATCATTAAAATGTGTTTAAGTGTCTTAATATAATATTTTTGCCATATCGGCCACTCCTACTCTATATAGCACCAAAAAGGTTCTGCTATGGTGTAGAAGGCTGACATTGTAATAAAAGAAGAACACTTTATAGAACTACCTAGAACCATTTTCATACCGGTTCCGCTTAAAGCCGTATGCAACACATTCTCTGTCAATCTGAAGAACCATTTTACCATGCGAAGAACAACTTAGGCATGCAAATGGTTCTATGTGGAACTCAGGGCTCTATAAAGAACCATTGCTTTTACTAAAGAACCCTCGAAGAACCACCTTTTTTTAATGTGTACCGCACACTGCAGCTGTTAGAAAAAGTCCAAACTACACACTTAAAAAGATGGTTCTTCCAGGGTTCTTTGGTAAAGGGAATGGTTCTATTTATAACTTTGAGTTTTACTTAGACCAGTTTTTATGCTTAAATGGTTCTTTGCATGGTGAAATGGTTCTTCAGACTTATGGAGAATGTGTTGTATACGGTTCTGTATAGAACCTTTGTGAAAATACTGAAACAGTAACAGAACCCTTTTTGGTGCTGTGTAGAATCGATCTGAAGAACCGTTTCACCATTTAAGCATGCAAATGGTTCTATGAGGAACTCATGGTGCTCAATAGAACCATTCATTAAGTATGTGGGGTTGTAGGTGGAGGTTAAGCATTTGAACCCTAGACAGGCATTTAATGAGCTCTGCCTTCCGTAATAATGCTTAAAGGGCAGTTTCACTGATTTTCCAAAATTCCCCCCTAATTTAATGTGTGAGATGTAATCAGAGAGATTCAGAGTGGTTTGGTGTGAAATGGTTCAGACGTCTTTACAGTGGTGCTGATAGGAACCAGGGGTCGCCATGACTACAACACAAATATAGACATTTTATTTACTATCCAGAACCACCAGTGAACCTACACGAGTCCTCTGAGTTTATATGGAATGTTGATGATGGAAAATAGTGGAAAATCTGAAATAATAAGTTTTCTTTGGGGACTATTTTGCCTCACAGCGCCCTGCATGTATCCCTCCACCATGAATGGAGTTTATGTTCTCTAAACTATCATAAAACAGTGTCTCAGTCATCAGGCAGTGAATTCATCACCATTTCATGTAGGAACTTTCTGTGAGGGAGCTTTTAGAGGTGGACGTCTGGTTCCTATCACCACCACTGTGAACAGTTCTGACTCGGTAAGTTTATCTAGAACAGGGCATTTCACACCAAACCGCTCTGAATTACTTTGTTTACATCTTAACCATTTAATCATGCAGAAATTTTGGAAAATCA